TGTATTCTTCTTGTTTAGAACTGTATTTATGTGGCCACCGCCGATGTTGTCACCACCACCATCCCACTTTTCTTCAAGTCTACTGGATACAATCTTATTTATCGGAAAAAAGTAGAGACTCATATGATGACTACTCTGTTTCTTCTTCAATTTTTTTTCTTATTGGAAATATATCTATCAAATCAGATTTAAAATAAAAAATGAATCACCTCTCCTTCCTCCTTTCTCCATGTTTTTCTTAGATGATTATGTAGTTATGATTTTATTCATATTTAAAATTATAAATGGCTCATTTTTTGTAGGTTAATGTATTAATTAATTTTTATGTGTATATAATTTGCTATTTTCAACTTAAAAAAAGAACAAATCTGAAATTGTTTTATTGGATTAAGAGGATTTGAAGGTGACGACGGCTATGATGGAGGACGGGGCTATGGTAATGGCAACTATGGCTGATAATAAATTTGTCTCTACTTCATAGAAATTCTCAAGGCATCATCAGATATTGCACAAAGTTGCTTGATATGTAGCTTGGTGGATGACAATTTCAATTTTTCTTTTTTTTTCCTCAAAATGCCACATGTATGTCATTGATTCTCATAGCGAGTGTATTACACACATTTCATCTTTTTAGCTGATTGCCAAAAAAGTATTCAAAAGGCTTAAATTTGAATTCATAGAAGAGTCAAATAGGTACAAATCTTAGTTAAGGTGCCTAAGTGAATTATGCGGACAACTTTAAGGGGTCGTCAATGACTCAAGTCTAATTTTAAAAAAAAAAGACTGGTCAATTCAAAATCACAAAAAGTCAAAATTAACCTTGGTATTTTCAAAATAAATCTACTTTTTATTTTGTAACTGAAATATAACCAAATCTGTTCAAACATTAATTTTAGAAAAACAGTCAAATCTATTCTTCTTATTTTTGGATTTATACATTAAATGATGTTGGTATATTTAGTGGAAGCTAATGATTAAAAAAAATTAAGCATCTCACTCACAAAAAACATTTCATTGATAAATTGAGCTTTTTTTTTTTTTGCTCTACTTTGAGGTTTGAATTAGTTTCATTTATTTTATGTATTTATTCATCCTTCGGACATGAAAGTAGGTGTTTTTTTTTTTCATTTTCATCATGCAATCAGAGCAGATCTACAATTTTATTTATGAATTTCACTAAACTCAGTAATTTATGTTTAGTATTTATGATTAAAAATAAATTTAATAAATATAAATAATTTATTCAGAGTCCAGTATACTGCTAATTTTTCTAAAATCTGAACTTCGTATACTTAATATTCTAACTTCTCTGAATTTTATTTTATTTTTATCTCCCTGTGCTTTGAGTTTTTTTTTTCTTTTCAGGATTGCAAATGGCATTGAGAATTTTGACGGATATGCAACTATCACTTCCTAATCAAATGTTGAAAAAGGTAAAATCTAAATTGCCCCAATTTCTATCTATGTATATACTGCATAACTTTTATTAGATTTCCTCGTTTCAATTTATTTGTTTGATGTTTATTTGATGTAAAGTTTAAGAAAATAAATAAATTTTTTTTTTGAATTTTGTGATCTTAAACGGAAGATATGTTGAAAGTACGAAAATACATAGGGTGCTAGGTGGAGGTTCATGGATTTGGTTTCGAATAGACCCACTAGCTTTTTTGTAGACTCTATATTTGTATTTTAGAAAATTAAAAAAAATATGTGTATATTGACTTGTGAACCTCCAAACAAATTGATTTAATACCCCCAAACATTGAATCTTGGCTCGGCTTTGCTAAAACATTGTAAATTTTATGGTCTTTAACATGCCATACTAAAAGTTGAAATTAAAAAGCTGACAAGAAATTAAAGAAACAGTTTTTTTATAGCATATCGAAAAAATAAAAATAAATCAAAACAATCGAATAGTTAATTTTTTGTTTGTTATACTTAATTGTGTTTTTATGCAGGGTTTGATCAATAATGAATTTGAACATTTGATGATTTCAAAGAGGGCAGAAGATCCTCAATTTGTAGTTGAAACAATTCAGGAGTATTGTGCTGAAGTTAAAGCTATATTATCACAAATGAAAAATGACATGTACTACCCTCTAAACTTAAAATACATATATCTATTTATTTTATATATCAAGTTTGTTTTGTCTATAATAAGTTTATTAATTCTATAATTAATTTATTTCATACAAATATTTTTTTATATGTTAATCCTTTTGCAGTGCTACTCCTGATGTTGAGTTTTCTCCTTTGGTTGCATCCTGTGACCTTGTGAAAAAAAAAAGTACAAGGTAATTATTTATTTATTAAAGTATAAGGTAATTTATTTACTCTAAAACTACAATAAATCACTTGATCTTTGTACTGTAGTTTTTTAAAAACTTTTACTATTTAGCTACCTTTGTCTTCTTAAATTAATCCTTGGGATAAACATCATGTGTAAGTAACTATGTAACCCTAACATGTTTTTTCCAAATTTTCATTGATTTTTTTCCCTCATGACTTAGTAAAGAGCCATGTAGTTGGCGGTTTTACTATACTAGAATGCCTCTATAATAGTCAGCATTTCGAACTCCATCATTCTTTCATGTATTATTTTGCAGAAAATTATTTGAAAGATATCATGTTTATAAAAGTTATCTTATATGTGAGAGTGTTCTTATTCAAGAAATCAAATAACGATCTTTAGTTATGATAATCTCCAACTCCTTTATAAATATTTTCATGTACTTCTGCTTATTTTTCTTTAAAAAAAAATCATACTTTGAACCTTTTACTCCAAAACCCCTTCATTCAATTGAGAAGCATTTAGTTCTACATTAATTTGTGTATCTCTTATTAAGTAATTAATTTTACTTAAACATTGTAAATGTGAAATTAAAAGTATTAAGCTAATGAACTATTGTTGATGGTGTAGGATTGGTTGTGAGCTAGTGATTTCCACATGCATGCTTCTCATTGGTGCTTGTGATGAAAGAAACAAAAAGAAGTAAGTAGCAATTAATTTGATCATCTAATTCTTGTTTCAAATGAAATACATGTTGAACCACAATCAGGTTCATCTTAATGTTAAAAATATTGATATAAATTTCAGGTTTTCTCAAACCTTGGAGTTGTTAAAGAAGGATTTCTCAACTACACAAAGCCAATTGGAAACTTATGCTTGGGTTTGTACTCATTCTAAACACAAGTTAATTTATGACAATTTAATTAACTAGTGTAGTTTTTTAATTAATTCAATCTTATTAAAAGATGTCAATTGTACTTGCAGTTGGAGAGAAGGATTATCAACGTGCAAGTTGATCAAGCAGAAAGCTCAGGGTTTTAAATTAAAAGGGAAATATTTCAAAACTATGTTTTATGACATTGCATTTGGTTCTATATTTTGAAACTCAAACCGAACTTGTGTCCAAGTATGTGTGTTACAATCGAAAGTACACCTTGTGGATAATATTCCTTTTCTTTTAATGTAAAGGATACGTTACATCTTTTAAATCTCCCTAATTAATTTATGTGAACATTGCTAAGTCATTTATGTATGTGAAATAGGAGAGTTACTTTCTCATTAATGGTTCATATTTATCTTAGGTATCAATTTCTTAACTTCATAAGATAATATTCAGAAGATTTGAAATTATTTTTCTATTATGACAAAGTTGTCATCAAATTAAGAATTATGTTTCATTATATTGATTATAAGTTAGTTTGTTACATTCTATTGATGAATGAAACGTAAAAAAAATTCTATTTAAGGAATATCATTTGGGAGCTAAAAACATTTAAGAAAACCAAGTCCTTTTCATTTACTATCTCCTTCAACAACTTTTTTTTTATTGTCTTAGATAATTCTTCTTTCTATTGTGGATTTCTAGCCAATTGTTTTTGTACAATTTCAAACTTTTAGCCAAGAGTGCACGTGTTTGAGAGAGTAACCAACTACAATGAATTGCACCAAAGTCAAGCCAAAATCGCTTTCAAAGGAGTGGCTTGCCACGATACTGTGTTCGTGACAAGTTATTTACTATTTATAATTTCAATCTAATATCAATATTTTAGTATTTTTTTCCTACAATTTGAAAGTGATTTCCTAACATACAATATTGATAAATGGCTATATCTTTGAACAAAACTTTTTAGATCTTGTCAAAGCTTGAGCCTTTGGATGGAAAACATTTTAAACGATGGTCACAAAAAAAATAATTTTCTTTGAACAATTTCAAGTTGATTATGTTTTATTTAAAGAACCCTCTGTGTGTCTAACACCACTACTGATTTTAGCAATGTTATAACTTATATGATATTGTTAAAAAGAAGTTTGAAAAGGATAACAGAACTGTGAGAAGAAATTAGGTTAACAGAACTGTGAGAAGATATTTGCTATCACATGACTAATCCTTTATTTGATTTATTTGTTACCCATAAATTTGCTAAGGAAATATGGGATAGTTTAGAAAAGAAATATGGTGTTGATGATGCAGAAAAGAAAAAATATGTGGTCAGATAATGGATTAAATTTCAAATGGTTGATAATAAGTCAATAATGGAACAAGTTCATGAATATGAGAACTTGACTATTGATGTTCTCAACAAGGACATGAAGATGAATGAGATATTTCAGGCTAATGTTCGACTTAAGAAATTCTCACCATTTTGGAGTGATTATGAAAATCAATTAAAACATGAGAAAAATAACTTAACTCTCCAAGAACTTATTAGTCATATGAGGACTGAAGATACAAACCATCTCAAAAATAAGATGGAAGAACATTCTCCTAATTCTTTTAAAACTAATCTTGTTGAATCTTTTGATGCTCTTGTGGGAGACAAATTTAAAGGAAAATGGAAAAAATGTTTCAAAAAAGGAACAGATGAAGAATAAAAACAATTCATCAAGTCGGAGAGCCAATTTAAAAATTTAAGGTCTTGTTTTATTCATGAAAAAGTTGGTCACGGGGCTTTCAGATTCTATCAAAAAAAAAAGGCAAGACTTAAAGCAGTAAGGACAAAGTGATGTCAAAGTTAATCTTGATGAGGGTAATGACATGATTTCTTCTGCAGTCGTTGGGAAAATCTAGTGGCTAACAAAATTGATTGGGTTCTAAACACATGAGCATCAAGTCATTTCTGTGACAATAAAGAGTTATTCCATGACTTTTAGGAGTCCACTGATGGAGAGTGTGTACATATGGGTAAATGCACTACTGTTGTAATAATGGGTAAAGAAAAAGTTTTACTTAAACTAACTTCTGGAAAGACATTATCCTTGAACAATGTTTTATAAGTTCCCTCCCCTCCGAGAAACATAATTTTTGGAGCGTTTCTCAACAAAGTAGGCCTGAAGCTTGTTTCAAGGTGATAATATAATTATTTCTCATGGAGGATACTTTTCGGAAAGAAATATCTTAGTGGAGGATTATTTGTATTGAACACTGTTCAATAGTTTGTCACTAATGCAAGTACTTAAAATTCTACTTATATTGTTGAGTCTATTGATTTGTGGCATGATAGATTAGGTCATGTTAATATTGCTTCTATTAAAAGACTTATAAAAATGAAATTGATTCCTATGATAAAACTTGATGATTTTTTAAATGTCCGATGTGTGTAGAAGCAAAGAATGCCAAGAAATCTTTCAAATATTTTATTAGTAGAAAGATTATATTACTTAGACAAATACATTCAAATTTAACATATTTCAAGAACACTATTAGCAAAGGAGGAAAAACGTGTATATTACTTTTGTTGAGGACTTTTTAGATACACTAAGGTATATCTTCTTATGTCCAAAGATGAAGCCGAAAGCATGTTTTTTAAAGCAAAAAGGAAAAATCAATTAGAAAGAAAAATCAAGAGATTTAGATTTAATAGGGACGGGGAATCTAGTACTAAAACTCTAGAAGATTTTTGTGAGAAAAATGATATTATACGTGAGGTTAGTGCTCCCTATATTTCCCCACAAAATGGTGTAGCCGAACGAAAAAATAGAACCATTAAAGATATGATGAATTCTATGTTTAAGCTCAACTCTATCTGACAATATGTGGGGAGAAACAGTCTTGTTTGCATGTTATATTCTTAATAAAGTCCCTCATAAGAAGTTAGACAAGACCTTGTATGTTTGTGGAATGGTTTGTTCCTAGCTTAAAATTTCTGAAAGAGCAAGGGGTTTTGTCTAAGATTGGTCTACGTAATTTTTAAACGCGTAATTATTGGTTCTAAGACTTCTGATTCTGTCTTGATTGTTTATGATCAAAATAGTGTTGCATATAGATTTATGTCTCTAAGTGATCATTCTATTTGTGAATCCACATATGGAGAATTTTTTGAGCATATTTTTTCTTTAAAAATTAATGTATCTAGTGATGTGCAAAATAATGCTTTTACATATATGTTCAACGATTCTTATGTCGTAACTTCTTCTAATCTTATTTCTAATGAGCATGAAAATAAACTCAGAAGGAGTAAAAGGCATAGAACTGAGATACGTTTTGGTCGTGATTTTATCACCACTTTCTTAACTGAAAATTTTGATATGAACTTTTTAAATAATGAATTAATATCTATCTATTAATTAAATATAAGAAGACGCTAAGTCTTATGATGAAGCAATGAGATTAATAGATGTTATATATTCGAAAGAGGTTATTAAAAGTGAATTAGACTCTATAGTTTCTAATCATACTTGTATGATCTGCCTAAAGGTTGTAAACCCTTAAGTGACAAGTGGATATTTAAGGAGAAATTGAGTCATCATGGAAAAATTGAAAAATATAAGTCTAGACTTGTGATTAGGACTTTTAACCAAAATAAAGTATTGATTACTTTGATACTTATTCTCCAGTGACTTAAATAGCGACCATTAGAACTCTTATTGTTTTAGCCACCATTCATGATTTAGTGATACATCAAATGGATGTCAAAACAAGATATCTAAATGATTATTTAGAGGAAGAGATTTATACGACTCAATCAAAGGGTATTTGTGGTTATAGGAAAGAAATAAAGTATGCAAATCTAGAAAGTCATTGTATGGACTAATACAAGCACCTAGCAAAGGTATAAAAAAATTAATATCACATTAGTAGATAATGACTTTATTGTAAAATCATCTAAAAAAGGTATTTATTCTAAGATGATAGGTTCATATTGTGTGATTATAGGTTTATATGTAGATGACATGTTCTTTGGTCCTAATGTTAACGTTATTAATGAGACCAAAAACTTATTATCTTCTAAATTTGAAACGAAAGACCTTGGTGAAGCAGATGTAGTTTTGGGAGTTAAAATCAAATTAAAGAACTGCTAATTTTTTCTCTTTGTGTCAATCTCATTACATTGTAAAAATGTCAAAAAAAAAATTAATTGTTTTGATGTAATTTCAGTGAGAACTCTTTATGATCCTAGCATACACTTCAAGAAGAATAAAAAATCTAGTGTTTCTTAAACTGAATATACTAAAATAATGGGGAGTGTAATGTTTCTCATGAACTATTCTCGGCCTAATATAGCTTATGTTTTTAATAGATTGAGTAGATATAATCATTATCTCAGTAGTGAACACAAGAATGCTTTTCATCGCTTGCTAAGGTATTTGGGAGGTACTACAAATTGGTGCTTGCACTTTAATAAATTTCCTGTTGTTTTAAAATGTTTTTGTAATGTAAATTGGGTAACTGACAATGATGAAGTGAGCTCTTCCAGTGGATATGTGTTTACTTTAGGTGCAGGTGCTATTTCGTGAAAGTATTCTAAACAGACTTTTATAGCACATTCTATCATGGAATCTTAATTTATTTCTCTTTAGTTGGCAGGGCAAGAAGATGAGTGGCAGAGAAATCTTTAAGCGGATGTGTCATTGTGGGGAAGACAGGTTTCACCAGTCTCTCTTCATTGTGACTCACAAACAACAATTGAAATTACCAAAATAACGTGTACAATGGAAAAAAGAGACATATTCACATCAGAGATGATGTAGTTAAACATTTGTTGAAATAGGGTGTTATTTCCTTCAGAATTGTAAGATCCAAAAGCAATTTGAAGGATATCATGACCAAGGATTTGACAAGGAAATAAACCTTGAAAAGCCGAGGGAAATGGGGGCTAAATCCCACTGATTGATGTAATGTGGTAGACCTGCTAGGCCTTAATATACACCACATTTCTATCCTATGGCGTGAGACAGTATTTTATAAGGTTAAACTTATTTTGCTCTTAATGATTCTTTACCCTTAAGATGGTCTATTTGAGATAGACTTTATGGAATAACCTACATGAGTGTAAAGGTGTAGTTGCCTTTTATGCAAGAATTGTGTCATCTTTGTAGAGCACTCATAAGACCCAAGGTATGTGTTCATGACCACAAAAGCACATTGTTGTATCGCAGAGCATAAATGTCAAGAATAAGGTATGTGTTGTGGGGGTCTCAACGCATGTCCATTTAGTTAAAAAGTACTTCAGTTTATGGATATGTGTTGTTGCCTCATTTCACTATGTATCAATTCAAATAGAAAGATGTCGACATTTATGTGCATGTTCCTTTGTTTTGC